AAAAAACAATTATTTTATGAAATATTTACGCGTATATTGTAGATACTGTTTTCTGTGAGATTCCATTGCTGAAAAACATGTAAAAAAACATATTGTAAATTTCTATTACAAGATGTACAAAGATATAAAAATATACACCAAACTTTTTTTTTTATAACAGAAGGGGGCAAACGAGCAGCAGGAGCACCGAGGTGTTCAACGACGCCCGTGGACATCAGCAATACCAGAGGAACCGCAGATGCGTTGCCGGCCTTTGAGAACTCGTAGCTCTTCGTAGCTTATTTGCTACGCTAAGCCACAAAATATTTGACTTCTCTTTGTCTCTTTTCCTCTTTCCTTTTATATCTTTACGTTATTTATTCTCCAATCATATATGCTATTAATCTACATCGGAATGTCAAACTAAATTGTGTTTCCTAACCTAGTAGACTAACTCAAAATGATTCATGATTCAAGGTCACTAAGAGAGCTTCTTGTATATTTTTACGAGAAATCTAAAATTACTAATATTATAAATGCAAATTTTAGGATGGATGTTTGTTAAAAAGATTCTGCAGTACGGCTCAACGGATCTCAATGAATTTTGGCATAGATGTAGAACATAATCTGGAAGAACACATAGCCGAAAAGTTTTTTTTTAATTCCACGCGAAAAAGGCGAAATACATACTAATTAGCTGAGAATATCTTGATGTCTTCTATATATTACTAGCTGTCGCCCGCGACTCCGTCCGCGTGTTTCTCTAAAAATTAAAAAAAAAATAGGGGTGTACTACCATTAACATTTAGGGGGATTAAAAATAGATGTTGGCTGATTCTCAGACCTACTCAATATGCTCACAAAATTTCATGAGAATCGGTCAAACCGTTTCGGAGGAGTATGCGAACGAAAATTGTGACACGAGAATTTTATATATAAGATATTTGGTATTTGAATACACAACGGAACATTATATGTTTCTGTAGCTGCAATTTTTCATTATAAATTCGATATGCATTTAGGTATTTATCAAGTCAGACGAGTATCTATATGAAACACTTGTGTAAGTAAAAATTTTAAACAACCGCCACGTAAGTGTGGATTTCCATTGTTAAAAGACTTTTATTTAATAAAATTGTCATTACAACAGTGTAAGCCAGTAATGTATGACAAATAGGTCCCAAAAAAAATGAATAAAAATTGCTCGGTTTTTATTATTTCCTTAAAATTGCATTGCAATGCGTGCACTAATATTATAATAAAGAAAAATTTGTTTGTCTGTTCGCATTGAATAGGCTCCGTAATTACTAAACCGATTTAAAGAATTCCCTGTCCATAGGAGATATATATTTATTCGCCGAAGTCGCAGGCTATTGCTAGTCTTACTAATATTATGAATGTTTAGATGGATGGCTGGAAGGATGGGTTTTTGAAGGTATCTTCAGAACGGCTGAACGGATCTCGATGAAATTTGGCATACATATAGAACATAGTCTGATAGAACACATAGGCTACTTATTAAGTTTTTTTACTTCCGTGCGGACGGAGTCGCGGGCGTCAGGAGATGGATAAAGGACACATAAATTGCTGTCAGAAATAGCTCATAGGTTAAAGCAATTTAAGTAATAAATTATAATAAAATCTTACCACGAATCAATTTGAAACACTGTCATTTCACGTAACCGTGGGTCTCCACTGCTAAAACATAGTTGTTGCCATCTCAGTTGTTTTCCAATTAAATGAGTGAAATGACAATATATTTTTACAAATACTCCGACAGCACATGACCATCGATATATCTGATACAGAAGGTTGTCAGAGCTAGACTGAGCTGGACAGAGCCTGCGGCAAACCATGTAGGTCTTTGGAATACAGCCTTCGAGCACAGGGCCGGATTGCATTAGATTAATGAAGTAATATTAAAATTAAAAACTAAACGATTTTAGTGACAAGAAATGAAAGTGTATCTTTAAGTATGTCTGACTTGATAGATGTAAAATATTACATCTTACTAATATTATAAATGCGATGTTTAGATGGATGTTAAGCAGGTATCTCCAGAACGGTTGCATGTATGTCGCTGAAATATGGCATAGATAGATGAACACAAAGGCTAATAAAGTTTTTTTAATCTGTGCCGACGAAGTCGTGAGCTTTTGACGTTAAAAAAACTACGTAGTACGATTGCATACACTGATAAAAAAATAAATAATTTAGCCTCTCTTCTTTTGAAGTTATTTTGGCATAGGAAATATTATACAACAACCAATGTAACTTAAGGGAAATTATGTTTGGACATATATTTCTATTTAAACCAATTAATAACTTGATAAGGTTAAATATATTGGTATTATTTTTTTCGTCCAAGTACAGCCCTGTGCTCGTGTGGTTTTGTGTGTGTTCAAGTGTTTTCTATATTTGTTCTAATTCCTGCGTAAGTGTAACTCGTGTGTCACATTACTTTTATACAATTTTTTCAATAATTTAACTTAATTTATTACAAAATCTTCACAATTGTATGCATTGTTGCGCTCGCGTACATCTAGGTCATGTAAATATGAGAAAAACTACATCATAAAAGAGAAGTTTAACGAATAATAAGACAAGGGACAAACGCATTAGTTATATAGCGGTCGAAATAACCTCTGAGAGAACCTTAATTTGGTGAAATTATTTTAATGATTTTTGTTTCCTTCAAGAAGCAAGGATATCATTTCCTTAAAGGCCAGCAACGCATCTGCAGTTCCTCTAGTGTTGCAGATGTCTATGGACTTAATTGGTCATCTTAGTGTTCTCGAGGTTCGTTTGACCCCTTCGCTTATTAAAAAGCCATTCCACAAGATTGTATGAATCTACTGCAAGATTGCATGGAACTCTTCATATTGATCGTTGGTAAAACATACTTTTAACTACTTTCGATGGATATCCTTTTCAAAAGTGTACCAAATTTATTTAAATACTAGCTGCCGCCAGAGACTCCGTCTGTGCGGAATTGAAAAAAAACTTAACAAGTAGCCTATGTGTTCTTCCATACTATGTTCTATATCTGTGCCAAATTTCATCAAGATCCGTTAAGCCGTTCCGGAGATACCTACAAACAAACATCTCTGAAGTCAATAGCTATGGTTATAACACAGACGTCTGAATGATTTTTTAAATCATAAAATAAGTTCGTCCGGCCGCATATAAAATCTTATTTTTTATAACTATGGTTTTTATATTGAGCCAATTGGGTTGTATTTTTTTTAGTTATAGTATAATAACACATCTTAAGATGTTGGTGGCAAAGTGGTCAAACACTTGACTTGCAATCTGCAGGTCCTGGGTTCGAATCCCGCCATGTACCAATGTGTTTTTCGATTTCCGATTTACATATGTACATTTATCCGACGTTCTTATAGTGAAGGAAAACATCGTGATGCAACCTGCACATATCTGAGAAGAAATTCAAAGATATATGTGAAGTCAACCAACCAAGTGCGGGCCAGCGTGGTTGACTATGGCCTAGCTGATGGTGAATACATCTTAAATTTTTATAATATTAGTAAGAAGTAAGAAGATATCTGAAATTTTAATTAGAAAAACTTCGATTATTCACTACAATACAAATAATCAATTATACTCGTACACACATGCAAGTCTCCCATTCCATCTGTACAAACAGATTGGTTAGTTTGCTTACAACACGACCTTATTTTTTTGACAAGATCCGCTATTTTAGGGTTTTTTTTCCTTTTCAACACATAAATTCTTGTATACAAGACACGTACAATATTTAATATTAGATTATAAATGTATTTCTCATAAATTATTTTTAAAACTAACCTAAAATAAGTCATCATCATCAGCTCACTATACGTCCCCACCGAGGGGCTCGGAGCCTACTCACGTTAAGGGTGATTAGGCCATAGTGAACCACACTGGCCAAGTGCGGGTTGGTTGACTACACACATATCTTTGAATTTCTTCTCAGATATGTGCAGGTTGCATCACGATGTTTTCCTTCACCGTAAGAACGTCGGATAAATGTACATATGTAAATCTGAAATCGAAAAACACATTGGTGTATGGCGGGATTCGAACCCAGGACCTGCAGATTGCAAGTCAAGTGCCTGACTCCTGAGTCACAGACGCTCTCTAAAATAATATTCACAGACATATCTTAGAGTTGTCAAAATTGACAGATCTCAATTTGGCGCGATTTTAAAATGGCCGTGTTATTTACCAGACATTACTTATATCATTTCTCTTTTAATATGCATAAAACTACAATACAATGTATATTTTATTATTGTACAAAATGTAACAAGACATATTTTTTGATGTTAATAACAGAGATAAAGTGATAAGATATTTTTTATCTATAACATTAATTTGTCACGTGAAACAAGGGTTCCGCGGTAACTTATAATTTACATTTGTTTTTAGTATGACCAGTATGTTTTAGTACTATCAACGCCCTGGCCGAGATTTTTAGGGCGACCTTTTTTAGACTATGCCTTGGGAGATGGGATTTGATAGGATCACGTGACACTGAATAATTCGCGAACATGTGGCGCCTCTTTCTATCCAATACCCTGGGCGGGGGCCAAACCGCGCTCTAACCTAACTCCAGCCCTGATAATAGTTCCCACTGTTAACACCAGTAAGATATTATCTGATTTTATTTTAAACTAGCTGTCGCCCGCGACTCCGTCCGCGTGTTTCGAATATTTCTCAGTTTTTAAACCTTAACTAGGCGTTAACGAACATTTCAAGACCAGGACACAAAGATATAATAAATCCGTTCTGCCGTTCTCGACTTTTAGCGAGACTAACGAACATCATTTGATTTTTATATCTTTTTAAAGATAATAAAGCATTTATCATATACTTATAAGTGGCCGGCGTTAATGTTTTCTGTAAAAATAAGATGGACCTTCAACAGTAGTCTAAAGAACTTTTTTAGGTTATGAAAAATGTAAAATCATTATTGAACTCTGAATGCAATCAAACATTGTAAAGATAAGTTAGTTGTTAAATACAATAATATGCTATTTTAGTGACAATCTGGGGCACGGAGGTAGCGTTACGCGGTCGCAGCCACCGCAAGTTAAACCCGCCACACAATACGTCTGTATTCTAATTGTGTTAACTTACAACTTGTACTTAATGTAAGTTGTTCAACTTAGATTTTAACAAAACTTCTATTACTTCTTACTTTTACTAATATAATAAATATTTAGATTGATGGATGGTTCGTTAATGATTGCATGGATCTCTCTAAAATTTTGTTAAACATGTAGAACATAGGCTGGAAGAACACATAGGCTACAAATTCAGTTTTTTTTTTAATTGCGGATCGGATCTAACAAAGATTTGTATTTTTGTATGTAACGAATAAATGATTTTATAAGTTCTTTTGCTATTAGAGAGTTTATTATTACTGTTTAAATTGCTAGAGTTTTTTTTTTAATTTCATGCTGACAAAGTCGCAGGCAAAAAGTAGTTCTTCGTACAATAGTCTGTGGCCGTACAATAAATCACAGTCGGTTTTTAGTACTTTTTTTATATTTTTAAACGTTTTTATTTTATAATGCTATAAAAATAATTTCAGGGCTTCAAAGGTCGTAAGGAAGTTACCAGATGACTTAAAACTTGGTGTCGCGACGGCTGCCTTTCAAATAGAAGGTGCATGGAGTGAAGCGGGTATTTTTTGCTGTACCAAATTTAAAAAATATGTCATTATATCTTGAATGTCAGAATGTTGTACTAAAGTTCCATGAAAGTCTGGTGCAGTGGTTTGGAAACGTATGAAAATCAAAAAATTACCATGATAAAGGAATGCAATCTTACTAATATAAATGCGAATGTTTAGATGGATCGATGTATGTTTGTTTGAAGGTATCTTCAGAACGGCTGAATGGATCTCGCTAAAATTTGGCAAAGATGTAGAACATAGTCTGGAAGACTAAGCTACTTAATAAGTTGTAATTTTGTTTTTAATTCCCCGCAGACGGAGACACGGGCGAGAGCTAGTTTATTAATCAATATTATAAATTTATTATTTTTTCAGATAAATCTCCGAGTATTTGGGACAACTTCTGCCACATTCCCGGCAAAATCAAAGACGGCACAACCGCTGATGACGCTTGCAAATCTTATAATTTCTACAAACGCGACATTGAAATGTTAAAATATTTAGGTGTCGATTTCTACAGATTCTCCATTTCATGGCCAAGAATTCTACCAAATGGATTCGCAGATAAAATAAGCGAATCCGGTATTGAATACTATAACAAACTGATCGATGAATTACTATCAAATAAAATTGAACCAGTAGTAACTATGTACCATTGGGACTTGCCTCAAAATCTTCAAGATTTAGGTGGTTGGACAAATCCTTTAATGGCTGATTGGTTTGAAGAATATTCGAGAGTGTTGTATAAATCATTCGGCGATCGAATTAAAACTTGGATCACTATCAACGAACCTAAACAAATAGGTCTATTTGGTTATGGTCTTAAGAGATTTGCTCCCGGCATTAATGCCCATGGGATTGGAGAGTATATAGCTGCTAAAAATATTGTTCTTGCTCATGCGAAAGCCTGGCATGTTTATGATAAGGAGTTTAGAGAGAAACAAAAAGGTATGCTTTTTAAAAGTACTTATTTATTTACGACATCTTACTGATATTAGTTTGTTAGAAGGTATCTCCGGAACTGCTCAACAGATCTTAGTATTGGACACAGATATAGAAAATAGTCTGGAAGAACACATAGACTACTAGTTAAGTTTTATTTTTAATTCCGCGCGGAAGGAGTCGCGGGCGACATTTACTTTTTTATACTTTTAACTAATAGATTCAGGTTCGAACAAAAAACTGATTAAATTAAACCAACTTTATAAATAAAAAAAAAACTATAACCAAATTGGCTCAATATAAAAACCATAGACATAAAAAAAATAAGATTTTATATGCGACCGGATGAACTTATTTTATGATTTAAAAAATGTTTCAGGTGTCTGTGGTATAACCATAGCTACTGACTTCAGAGAAGGAGCAACATCATCTCCAGCAGACATTGACGCTGGCTTAGATGCTATACAATTCGAAGTTGGATTGTACGCGCATCCGATATTTTCAGACGAAGGAGGATTTCCGGACCGTGTTAAACGTCTTGTTAATAAAAGAAGCAAAGAACAAGGTTATCCTAAAAGCAGATTACCAGAATTTACAAAAGATGAAATTGAATTTGTTAAAGGTAAATCTTACTAATATTAAAAATGCGATTGTTTATGAATGGATGGATGTTAGAAGGTATCACCGGAACGGCACAATGGATCTTGATGAAATTGGGCACCGATGTCGAACATGGTCTGAAAGAACACATAGGCTATTCTTTTCTATAATTCCGCACAGACCGAGTTGCGGGCGAGAGCTAGTAAATGAGAAGAAATTGATGAAATACGTAAGAATACCACCCATATTAAAAAGTAAAAGAACCAGAAATTCAGGTGCATGTGTGCGTCAGATGTAAGAATGTAGAAGACTGAGAGGTGTGTCAATTACGCCAAATATAGGTCCGTGGTCTGTCTACCCCTCTGGGTAACGGGTGTAAGTTATGTTGTTGTTGCAAATGATAACAAGACATTTAATTTGTCCTCAATTGTGACGTGACTCTTAAAAATCTTTGCGTGTTGATACGTAACCTAAAACCTTCATAATTACGCTAATAACAACTAAAATAATTTTTAAATCCCTTCAGCTCTGTTTATAAGATTTTTGTAATGAAGTTATTCTATTAGAATCTTCTAATTTTATTGAAAAATCTTCATCAGGGACCAGTGATTTCTACGGCTTCAATCATTATTCAACAAAGTTTTACACCAGGGTTGGTTTCGAGCGAGGAATGTACCCAGAACCTTCTTACGATGATGATATCGGTGCTATAGCTTCGTATTTGGATTACGAACAAGGAGCTATCCCTCATGTTACGGTAAATAAATCCTCTTTAAACTGTTCTCCTTGCTATTCCCTTTTTTTTAATTTTATGACCTGGCAACATAGAGCTTTACTTTGGTCACTCTTTCTCTTTCCCTTTTGAGGGTCGGCACAGGCTGTCCTATGTCTCCACACATTTTTAACAGCTGTCACATTTGGCTTCTTCCTTTTTACGCATATCCTCTTTCGTCCAATCAATACTTTCTTCAATCTTTTCTCTTTATTATGGCTACAATATTTTTGCTGTTTTAATAAAGACCCCTTTACGTTCTTCAAACATAAATAATTCTAATTAAAAAATAACTTTAATATTTTTAATTTTAATTGAAATGTCAGATTTGTCACATCATAAAACATAATGCCGTCCCACTCATTTTCTTTTAAAAACATTGATAGCAATATGTTTTTAAACAAACAATTACAATTTATCACAGGTTATTCCGCAAGGCATACGAAAAGCTCTCAAATGGGTCAAAGAGTCTTACAACAATCCACCAATTATGATCACAGAAAATGGCTACGGCACTTTAGGAGGTATCGAAGATTACGACAGAATATCATATTTCAAAAAATACCTCAATTGTATTTTGGATGCAATCGAAATAGACCATTGCAACGTATTGTCATATACTGCTTGGAGCCTAATGGATAATTTTGAATGGGATTCAGGACTAAGGTAAATCAAAATTGACGAATTTTATTGGATAAGAATAAATTAAAGATGTAAACGTTTTATGATAGTTTGTTTAAGGCGCCTTTGAATTTTGAATAGCAATTTATTAATTGCGAGGAAATGCTATTATTATCTAACAGATTCCTGTTATAAGTGTAAAAATTTTCAGTATTAAATTTGGTTTATTCCAAGTGGACTACGAAGACGATAGAAGAAAACGAACGGCTAGAAGCTCGGCAATGTGGTATCGAAACTTATTATCAACGAAAACTTTGAATTTGGATCATGTACCTGTGTTGGAAGATATAAGTTTTTGACATCTTTTGTAAACTATTTATGTTTATGAAAATATAATATTATTGAAATAAATCTTTGCTTTTTTCGTTTCTTAGTTATCTGACAAAAAGATGATGCTTATACATAGCATCATTGGAAATAAGCAATATTGGGAATGTATTTTGTACATCATATCTGGCTAGAATTATCAATTAAAGAGAAATAAAAAAAAATATTTTCGTGGTAATTTTTAACATTTATAAGTCACTCTATGACAAATGTCAAGTTAATGTCAATTTATTGTCATTCGTCAATATGTCAGAAAGAGACCAGCTGTCATTTGTCAGTCGGATTTTTGAAGCAGTGGAAAGAGGTGTGTTTTTTTATCCTGAGAGTTATTTTTACTAGAAGTTTATAAATGACTTTAAAAAATGTATATTTACGAGCTACCATTTGAGGTGAATAAAGAGTTGTGTAGATTGCTTGATAACGACGAAGAATGGAAGGAATTAGCTGGTGTTCACATGAAATATTCACCTTTTGACGTTAATGTAAGTATAACAATTTTGTTTTCGACGTAACATTTGGTTTTTCCCTTGCGCGAGAGAGATTCATTGGGTATTCCCAAAATTTCTAGGCCTTTTTATCACGTAAGCGATTTAACTATTATAAATAAAATACATATTAGACTACAAAAGTGTACTAAAATGATTTTCCTGTTTGAAATCAGTTGATTTATAATCAAGATCTGGTCAGAATCAAATTGTTTACGAATTGCTACTTTTATAGCATACATTCTATGAGACTAATCCATTGAAACATAGCTTTCTCTTACATATCTCATCATTATCCTGCCCTTTTCATATGGGGTTTAGCAAATTACTACTCGTCCATACATCTCTGTCAGACATCAGATCTGAATTTACTCCCTTCTTATATATATTCTCTTTCACACATTCCATTCATACTTTATTCGGTCTTCCTCAACCATTCCATCCACTTTCATTACATTTATTTCCACATTAATATAAAAAAGCATCTGTAACTCTTGGGAATAACAAATTGTAATGAAAAGATGGATTGGATAGATTTGAGTTTCTAAACAAGAATTTGATAGATTAATCAATATATTAAGTTATACTACTGTTTATAAGATACTGGCAACATAGAAATGTGACAGTAATGGAAGATGTAAAAGACAGGGTGAATAAATGTGCGATATAAATAAAATGTGGTTTTAATAAAATACAAATATGTCGGAAACATCCAATGGAAACAACTACTGTCTCAACTATTTTAATTATATTTTAGGAAATAGAAAGAGAAGCAAAGAATAAATTATTATCACCAACTGCACAGCTGTTCATAAAATGGGGACAACTGAACCATAGAGTAGAGGAACTTTTTATTCTTCTGTACCGGATGAAACATGTACCAGCATTGAGATGTTTGGTACCGGTTGTAGATAGCAGATTTCATAGACTATTGAGTAAACATGATATAACACGGAGCATCAAATCCAAGAATGCTGATAATGGTGAGTAATTATTATTATTAAAATTGCAATATTGGTTGAGATTTAAGAGGCTTTACTTGAAGAATAGTGATTTGGTAGATTATTAGTGTTCAAATTAAGTTATTCCAAGTTAACTTAACTAGTTTAAACAATATTTCAACTTTCAACCAGCATCTTAGTAATATTATAAATGTGCATGTTTGGATGGATGTTTGTTTGAAGCTATCTTGAAAACAGCTTTATGGATCTTGCTGAAATTTGGTATGGATGTAGAACATAATCTGAAGGAATAGGCTATGAAGTTTTTTTTATTACAAGCGGATGGAGTCACAAGCGATAGTTATTGTTACTAATATTATGAACGCGAATGTTTGGATGGATGTTTGTTTGTAGGTATCTCAAGAATGACTGCATGGATTTCGCTGAAATTTGGGATAGATGTAGAGCATAGTCTGGAAGAATACATAGGCTACTAATTTACAATTATAATTACCTTTTTGTAATAACACGCGAACGGAGTCACAAGCGAGAGCTAGTTTTGTTATAGTTAAAAAGAATTGCTCAGAATTATTGGTGTTTAAGAGACTTTTGAATATAAATTTATTCTGCAAGTATAAATATGACTCAGTTGCACCGAAATCTTATTTTTGTCTTAATCGAAATGCAAATTTATTTGTAAACGCAACAGGAAAATGAGTATAAAATTGTTAAATTGATTTTGTTTTCGTATAACAGTATAAAAGGTGACTTTATTGAAGTAAATAATTTCATGAATATGTCCTATATGCTGTCGCCCGCGACTCCGGTCGCGTGGAACAAAAACTTAATTAGTAACCTATGTGTTCTTCTAGTCTATGATCTGGAGATACTTTCAAACAAACATCCATCCAAACATTAGCAATTATAATATTATTAAGATAGTAAAATTAAGTTACTAATATCGAAATTTAATCGAGTTACGTCGCTAGTATGCGTTTCTACGTCATTGTGAGGTCAATAACAAGGAAAATGGTTACATTTATTAGAAAAAGTTGTATTTTTACAAGAAAACATGTAACAAACGTATAGTTACCGATAAAATTGTTATCATTATTAAACCCAAATATTTTTATCTTTTATTTATCTTGGACTCGTATTTTTACTATTTTTTTTGGAATTGTACACATTATGAATGAAAATGTAACCAGTTTTATTAAGAAAATATCTTACTAATATTATAAATGCGAATGTTTGTATAGATGTTTGTTTGTTAGAAGGTATCTCCAGAACGGCTGCATGGATCTTGCTGAAATATGGCATAGATGTAGAACATAGTCTGGAAGAACACATAGGCTACTAATTTTTAATTTAATTACGCGCGGGCGGAGTCGCGGTAGCTAGTTAGTGTATACATAATTAGTCATTTTTTTGCAGATAATGTTAAACGGCCAGCTAAAATGGAAGGCAGTAACAGTTCCATACCAATACCAGTGATGCTTATGCAAAATGTAAGGGAAATTTTTTATTTGCTATCCAATCTGCATAAGAAAGGATCCAACGGACCGGGTCGTTTTTCTCGCTTATAGAGGCTTATCTTTAGCCAGAGTTTCTCGCTTATGGAGGTCATCCTTGGGACCAGGGGGTTTAGACAAAGTGTATTCGCTCCGAAGCGATTCCATAACGATATGTCACGTGATTGTTGCGCGTCAGTTGCATGCATTTATGAAGTTCCCTATGGAACAACACATCTTGCATCACGATGTTTTCCTTCACTGTAAGAACGTCTGATAAATGTATATATGTAAATTGGAAATCGAAAAAGACATTGGTATATGGCGGAATTCGAACTTAAAACCTGCAGATTACAAGTCAAGTGCTTAACCCCTGAGCCAACGACGCTCGCAACTATGGCCTAGTCATCCCTAACTTATTGTAGGCTACAAGACCCTGTTGTTGTTGTATGAAGACAATGTTGTATGACCTTGAGACATTTCGTTTATTTTCTTAAAGCTTGAATTTAAAAATACCCATTTGCAAAAACAAATTAGTTGTCTTTTTCAATTCCAAATACGAGGATAAGGAAAGTTTGTTTTCAAGGTAAATCTGATCTTTATCCAATATAAGTGTATTGCGTTATCTCTGTCATTTCAAAGAGAAAGAGAGGGATAGACTTCATTGGTGTTTCTTTTACAGGGAATAAGTAATATGTTACCGAACATAAGGTCAATTGAAGGCCTCACAAATGGTGATTCCAGTTTACAGTCAAGTTCGGTAAGTTACTATGTTACCGTAAGATTGTGAATTTGATCAATTTGTAATTTTACTATGGATAAAAATTTATAGGAAATTGTGAATTTGATTTTTAAGTTTGATGTTAAAAAAGTATTTTTAAGATCAAATCTTATTATAAATGCGAATGTTTAAATAGATAGATGGATGGATGTTTGAAGGTATCTCCATCACAGCTGCACGGATCTCGCTGAAATTTGGCATAGATGTAGAACATAGTCTGGAAGAACACATAGGCTACTAATTGAGTTTATTTTTAATTTCGCTCGAACGGAGTCGCGGGCGACGTCTAAAATTATACTTTTGTATAAAAATCATGTCGTGTCATAAAGTTTTCTGTCATTTTGCAATAGGACAAAGTTCACGGTGGTCGATGACATTTATATTGTGACATACATCTTCTGTGGTTTTGTTTGTCATCTACATTATTTTTGCTGACATGTCCTCAATGGATTCGTCATCTTTATTTATGTAATTGTATAGAATATCAGGGATAAATATCGTAAAGAGTATCCCAGTTTATTTTGTTTGACTACTTATTTATCTATCTACTAGGTGTTGTTGTCCGCGACTTTTTCCGCGCTGAATTTTAAATAAACGAGTAACCTATGTGTTAAATTTCAGCAAGATTCGTGCAGTCGTTCTGGAGATACCTTTAAACATCCATCCATCTAAACATTTATAATATTAGTAAGATTAATCAATCGTAAGAAAGGTAGACCCAATCTCTCCGCACCGGAATTCTTTAAACATCTAACCTTTCCCACCTTTTTCTTATAAGGAAAGAGAGGCCAAGTCTCTCTTTCCTTATAAGAAGTTAGGAGAAGAGGACACTTTACTTTCTGTGCCTTCATTCCTCTGTCGATTAAAGGCAGCACATGTGCAAAAACATATGTCTATGGGCAAAGATCACTTCGCAATTTTGGCGATTTTTTGAAGATTTTTTTGTAAATTTACTAATATTTCTTTAAGCATTCCAACTAAGCGCTAGGCTTGTGCTAGGATATGGTTTACGATAATAGTCGAATGGCGGGATTCGAACCCCCGACCTCGTGATCGGAAATCCGTACCCTTAACCATTAGACTATTGACGCTTGCCTATTAAATATGTCTATTTTTCAGAATAATTCCAGTAGTAATGACACGAAGCCGTCAAGTTTGAATGATGAGCTGATAAAGAAGATATCAACAATCCCGATGGTGCACTACGAGGAACTGAAAGCTGCAACTGACAATTGGAGTGAGAGTAATCTGTTAGGAAAAGGTGGATTCGGACAGGTTTATAAAGGTCAGTACTTACTTAACTTTGGATATCTTAATAATAAACTAGCTGTCGCCCTCGACTCTCTCTCTCTCTCTCTCTCTATAAAAAAAACTCAATGAGTAGCCTATGTTTATTTTGCAGGCTTTGTTTTACATTTATGCAAAATTTCGGTGACATCCATGCCGCTGTTTTGGAGATATCTATCCATCCATCCATAATCTCCCATCTTCTTACTAATCTCCAGTAGAATACATATATAGAAAACTAGCAGACCCGACAGACGTTGTCCTGTCTACACGTCTTTAATTTGAATAAATTAATATGAAGTTATTATTTGATGAAAATAGTGAATCCAAACCATTCCCAGATCCCCTTGAACACACACAAAAAATTTCATCAAAATCGGTCCAGTCGTTTGAGAGAAGTTCAGTGACATACACACTCACAGAATAATTATATATATATATATATATATATATATATATATATATATATATATATATATATATATATATATATATATATATATATATATAAAGATATGTTGGAAGAATACATAGGCTAGTTATGTTTTTTTTAGTCTCGAGTGATCGGAGTCACGGACGACAGCTAGTTTTGTAAGAAAAGAAGTGAATATGTTTATAAGATTTATATTATTTATGTAGGTGTTTGGAAGCTGTCAGCGGTGGCTGTGAAACGTCTCCTGAACAGTGACTCGAGCAACAACAGAGAGCTGATAGGAGAGATGTGCCTCAATCAGTACCGACATGATAATATACTGCCGCTCTACGGATACAGTCTTGGTGGTAAGTTGTACAGCCACTTGATTTCGCTAAAATGGCGTAGTGTTTGAAACGTAACAGATGCATTTTTCACTGTTATGGGTTGGGCACAATATCTTCTTTCTTTTTTGTCTTATCCCCTTCCTTCCAAGTCAGGGGACAAGGCGGTTAAGGGAATAGATTACGGACCCATTCTTCCTCTCTCTCTCTCTCTCTCAAGGTGCCTCTTCATTTAATGGAGGTTGGACGTCAGCTCAGTGAACTTTCGCCGATCTTGTACCAAGCGAAATAAATTCTGGTAACATTCGTCCATTCCTTGATATTTCGCAACCACGATTTCTTTCTTCGTCCAGCGCGTCTTTTGCCTGCGATTTTGCCCATCATAGTTAGTTGGAGAATCATCATTCTTCCTCTTCTCCTCTAGTTGTCTCTGGAGAGTACATATTAAATGCCTATATTTTTATGTTCTGTTACACAGTTACATGGGTGAAGTGGAAATATTTTCGCGTTTTGCCCCGAGGACAAGTTTATATTTCTTCCCCTTTCCAGTTTATTCTCATAAAGAATAGGAGCAGTTGTTATACCGGATGAGGAGACGCACAGGAAAGGGACATAACCTCTTTCCCTACGTCCCCTCCTCTATAAGAAGTACAGAAATATGTGTTATAAGGTCCGGAGGCGTGCCTCGTGTACCAGTACATGTCGGGAGGGTCGCTGGAGAAGCGGCTGCGTTGCCGCACAGGTCACCCGCCGCTCACCTGGCCGCAACGATACAAGATAGCTCACGGTGTCGCCAGGTACACGCGAATTGGACACAAAAATAGCCTAAGTTACTCCTGGATACATCAGCTAAGATCTAGTAAATGTTCCAACAAAATCAGTTCAGTCTTTTCGGAGATTACCTGGAACAAATGCGAAAAATATTTTTTTCTTACTACATACAGACTCTAATTATATCTTGTAAATATAACGCTCGGAACAAAAAAACATAATTAGTTACCCATGTGTTCTTCCAGAGTATGTTCTATATGTTTGCAAAATTTCACCGAGGTCCGTACAGCTGTTCTGGAGACAGCTTCAAAAAAACATCTAAACATTCGCATTTATAATATTAGTAAGATAGATTACCAAAGTACAGTCTTATAATTCAAGTTGGTAAATCCCATGGTCAATTGGTCTTTATATATTCCAGAGGTCTACAATATCTCCATACAATGGAAGGTACTCCTCTCATTCATGGAGATATAAAGCCCGGCAACATCCTGCTGGACCAGTGCATCATGCCCAAGATCGGGGACTTCGGTCTGGCGAGGAAAGGACCTTACGGTGAAGACAGGACGCATATGAAAGTATCCAGGTATATAACAAACGTCCTTTATGTCTAACTAGCTATCGCCCGCGACTCTGTCCGCGCGGAATTAAAATAAAAACAATTAGTAGCTTATCTGTGATCTGGTCATCTGTTCTGGAGATACCTTCAAACATCCATCCATCTTAACTATCGCATTTATAATATTAGTAAAATTACTAAGATTTTAGTTACCTTTCCCTTCTCATTTTTTCTTATAAGGAAAGGTTGAGAAGAGGAAATAGATTGTCAGAGGAGTCACATAGGAAGGGGGAATATTCTCTTTCTGTGCATCTCCATCTGTCGATTAAAGTTAGGCAACACATCTGCAATGGCGTATGTCCACGAGCAGCGGTTGCTTCGCCATATCGGCGAAATCGAGTAGCAACTATATATTATAAAAAGATATGTTTTTTTATTTCCAGAGTTCACGGCACTCGTCCTTATTTACCAGACGAGTATCTTCGCTCTCATTACCTCTCACCAGCAGTAGATGTATTCAGTTACGGTGTGGTGATGCTGGAGCTGGCCACAGCTTTGCCCGTCATGGACAGGACCAGGACTGTACAGTTGTTGAGAGATTATATCATACAGCTGCAGAACAGACCGGCTTTTGATTTAGGTATGTACTTAATTCTCTTGTGATATCATTTTGCTCAAATAATTACCTCTCGAAACCTTAATGGATTAAGATCCGACTCGAAGGACCAGATATAATATGAATTGTAGCTAAATTTTAAATTGTAGGTTTCTGAGACAAAATTCACTGTTTAAAAGATACCAAAGATGTCATTTTAGAAAACCACGAATAGAAAATTAAATTAAATTAGGCAGGCTATTTAAAATCAGTATTCAAGGCCTTTTTACAAAGCATTTTAGCCAAGTATCCTCCTATTTCTTATATTAAGAAGAAAATTCGATAATACCGATGTGACGCAACACTAGCCTTACTAAAATGTCAACGTTTATGTCCCTTCACTAATCAGTCTGACACTTGACTTGGTAACGAAAGCGCGATAAATGCGTCAAAGTATTTTATTGAATAATTCCTAAAACTTATATCTTTATACAGCATCACTAGAAGACCGCAACATCCAAGGAACAGTTCACTCAAACCCCGCGTTGTGTCGTGAGATAATGTTCATAGGTCTGCATTGCACGCGCTACGACCGGCACGAGCGACCCGCCATGCTGCATGTATACAAACAGCTCGACAGCATGCATCTGCCTGAAGAATACTACAACTGATATACTGCAAGTATACTAAAGTAGAACTAAGGAACGATTAAGTATGCTAAGCTATGATTTATGTTTACTCAATAAGGATGAAGAGTACTGAGGAATGACGAAGTATTTTTAAGAAGAAAATGCCCAACAATGTAGCGAGTGAATAACTGAATTATGTTGAAGTATACTGAATTATGTTGAAGGATACTGAATTATGTTGAAGTATACTGAATTATGTTGAAGTATACTGAATTATGTTGAAGTATACTGATTTATGTTGAAGTATACTGAATCATGTTGAAGTATACTGAATCATGTTGAAGTATACTGAATTATGTTGAAGTATACTGAATCATGTTGAAGTATACTGAATCATGTTGAA